GTCGAGTTGTCTTGAGTGGGACGTCTGTTCATGCACTAAGGGAGCCTGCAAAAATAAAAGTCCAGAAAAAGGCAGAGAATGTAAATCGAAGTGAATAAAAAGGCAGAGAGTAAGGAGAGACACCCGATAAAGTCCAGAATGATCCTAGAAAAGTCCAGAAAAATCGGAAAAAATCTAGAAAAATTCAAAAAAGTCTAGGAAATATCCAGAATAACTTCGAAAAAGTCCAGAAAAATCTGAAAATGTCCAGAGAGGTCCCGAAAAATCCAGAACAAGTCCAGAAAAGTCCAGGGAAATACAAACAGCAAAAATTAAAAACAGAAAAATCAAGAAATAAAAGAAACAAAGAAAAATTGACTCGAGAGAAAAATAAAAATCACACAAACACACAAAGAAAAAGGAAGTGAACAAACACACAAAAAATCAAACCGAAAGATTCAAAGACTCCGGAAAGACTTACCTAGAGTCAATCTATCCTAACTATGGAAACCGTAAAAAGTCCCCGGCAACGGCGCCAAAAACTTGATCATTTGCGTGATGAGTCTTAAATTTATAACCCGAAACACAACTAATCCGCAAGTATACGGATGTCGTAGTACCGGGATCGAACACAAGGACTTAAGCGGTTAAGCTAAGAATCGACTAACACTAGGAAAATGGTAAAAATAAAGTTGGATGATTGTTTTTGTGGTTTTGAAAGTTGCAGAAAATTAAATGAGAGAAATAAAATCAAAGACAATCACAATTCAAGAGGAGATAATCAAATGGCCAAAAGTTATGAGTTTCGGGATTCACCAACATGCGGGATGTGCTAAATATTTAGAATATATTTCATACTTCCTTTGAAATTGAGGATTCCAAGATAAAGATCGGGATTTGCTCTCTCGAGCTAAATACCCGCTACCCAAGAGGGCATTCCATCTACTTTCGTAACTTGGAATGGAATCTTGAGTGCATTGAACTCTCTTTCAAAATCCTAGGTTGGATTGAACCGAATTTCTTCGCTTTCAACCACAACCCTATTGAATGAATACATCAAGGAGTCAAGGTGTCATGTCTCCATGGAAACCAAGACTCTAAAATCAACTCAAGGGATTTTCATCCCAAGAGAGCATTAAAATCCATTCATCAATCCAAAGCATTCACTCTCATTCAATGGCAATCCATCTACTCATGAATCCTAAGACTCCAAAGAGATTCAATCAAAGAGGGATATGGAAAATAAGCATAGAAATCACTCATTGAATGAAATGAGAGTCTAATCAAAGCATAAACATAGATTCATCAAGTGGGTTCACACATCCTCACATGAGGATTCACTCTCAATCCATAACTATCTAACTACTCACAACCCATGTTCAAAAGCACCAAAATAGCTAGAGGAAACATAGAGAGAGAAAGGGAGAGAGATGCTCAATAGGATCTTCAATCTTCAAGCCAAAGCAAACTCCTTGTTTCTCCTTCAAGATTTCGGCCCTAGGTCTTCTGGAGGAGAGAAAATCACCGTCTTTTTTCGTTTCCCAAATCGAGCTCTCTCCCAAAAATACTCCTGGTCCGGCTGACCAAAACCGGTCAACTCCGGACCAGGTCTTCAGAGGGTTTCCGCGGCTGACTGGGCGAGAGACTAGCGGACTGGGGAGTGGCTAAAGCGGTCTGGTCCGGCGGACCTGGGTAGGTCAGGTCCGGACCAGGTATTCAGTGGGCTCGCTCCGCCTGACTCGGGACATGCTGGCGGACTGGGCATTGTGCGAAGAACGTTCGGTCCAGCGGACCTGAGGCGGTCAGCTCCAGACCGTGATTGCTTTTGGGTTTGGTCAGCTCGTATTCGGTTCGGCGGACTGGCTGAGCACGCAACATTCCTGGACCGGCTGACTAGAACTGGTCAGCTCCGGACCAGGCCTTCATTTCGTCTGGTCGGTGCTTGGCTCAGCGTTGAGCGGACTTGTGTGGCAGTCTCCTGATCCGCCGGACCAAAGTTGGTCAGGGGTGGACCAGATGAACTGCGAACTTTCTTCGTCTTCTCTCCTCGGCTGGACTGGATGAACTGAGCAGATGTGGTCCGTCGGAGTGAAATCTGGTCAGGGGCGGACCAATGGTCTGTTTTCTCCGATTCTCGCCGAATTTGTGCGTTATGCCCTCGGGGTCCTGCCAAAGTCAAGAAATAGTCTCGGAACCCTAGGATGGCTCTAAATATGCCTAAGAGTGTGTGGAAACCGTTTAGAAACCAAAGGCATACTCGTATAAAATCCAGATAAAATCCGAGCAATCATCATGTCATTGCCACATCATCATTTTGTTTGAGTTGGCAGACGCGGGGGGTTTTCGGCGAATTTTTAAAAAGTTTAGGGTTTTATGGGTTAATCACACCAAGTACATGGTTTAATTGGTAAGTAAAAAAGTACAGGGTTTCGTTGACCTGGGAAAAGTATGGGTTTTTTTAGGCGATATCCCCTTAAGAATAAGAACTCATTTTCATGCACATATCAGGAGGTAAATTACAAGGAGACATAACAATAGGTCACAAGGAATATTGTTTGTCCGGATAACCATACGGTAGGGGTGGCCAATTCGGGTTTCGGTTCGGGTTCGGTTCAGTTATATTCGGGTTCGGTTATTTCGGTTATAGAAAAACTATAACCATTCGGTTTTTATATAAATTTCGGTTCGGTTCGGTTCGGTTATTTTTCGGTTCGGGTTCGGTTCGGTTTTGGTAAAAAGTTCAATTTTTCAAAGAAAATTGTCGGTTATTCTCTCGGTTTTTTCGGTTATTTTTTATTCGGTTCGGTTCGGTTTCGGTTTCGGTTTTTCGGGTTTAAGGAAATCATAACCGTTCGGTTTTGATGTCGGGTTCGGTTCGGGTACGGTTATGTCTTATTCGGTTCGGTTCGGTTCGGTTATTCGGTTAATAACCGAAATGGCCACCCCTACCATACGGTGCAAACTCACATGTGTATAAACATAGATAAATGTTTCTATGTTCTAATGCAAAGTTCGGATATACCTCAATTCTTCCACGTCTCGCCCTCAGACGGACGACTCATGTTCCAGGACTTAATGTATATTCAACATGTCACTGCATATGTAAACTTGCCTGTTGAGATTGAAACAGTCTTTGTAATCTATCTGCTATTGGTATACAGGAAATCCTTTTATAAGAAACTTGCAAATACTGACCAGGTTTCTTGGACTTATATCTTTCAACTCAAAAAAATCGACAATCAACCAACTATTTATACTCTTCTTTTCAAAAGCAAAATCATGCAGTTGTTAAGACATACATCGATTTTTATCGATTCTAATCCTAACAATCTCATCAATTTAGGCATATCATAATAAGAATCCGGAACATTGTTACCTTGGAGAAGATAATCGTTGAACATCTAACAAATTTCATCTATTCAGTTTTCTATGAAATTATATCTCGCTTTCATCCTCATCGATCTAGTAGAAACCGATAGTTACGAAACTCCTTATTAACAACAATCATAATTAGTTGATTCACAAGATCCAACATATCAAAAACTTTTTCGGTTCATCGTAATGCATTTATAAGTAGATAAAATAATTGAGTATTACATATCAAAATATAATATATATATAAATTTTAAATTACAAATAATAAATTTGTTCTTTAACAATAGAATACAAAAAGAAATTCGGAAAGGATATATTAAATAAATAAAATATCAAGAATAGAAATTGTTGAGTGGCAGGAATATCAATCGTTATCGTCCCCCAATTTTTAATTTAATAAAATAATATTCTAAATATTAAAATATATTAAATTAATATATCCCGAAATGGAGGGTAATCTTTAATCAAGATTCTTACTTATTTGTTAAAAAATGTCCGAATCGATTTGGGTCTCGGTTGAAAATTGCTTTTAAATTCAGGAATTAAGATATTAATTTGACACAATTTTAGGAGTTAACATATTAATTTAGTACATCTATAGTCTTCTATTCTTGTACCTTATGATTTGTGATAATTTCAAAATGTAGTGTAATGTTTAAATTGAATTTAATTAATACATTATTTATGTTTCACTTTTTACTTATTATTTCGATTTTAAATTATGCACAAATATTTTTTAAATGAAATATATTGTTCCATATAACGGGGAATACTAACTCCAATTAGAATATAATTCAATAAAATTATATATATACATATATAACCACATACTTTAAATTCCAAGTAATTATTTTTTAATTAAAATAAATCACAATACTCTCAAATTTCTGCTATTATCCCAAAAACGTCTAAAAATATATTTTAATGGTTTGGAAAACCTAAAAATAATTTTAAAGGAAAATCTCTTTTTTAGATAAATACATAAATTTATTTTTAAAAAATGCATAAATTCTTCTATATTAAAATATGAAATTTTAAATTATTTTAAAAGTCATCTCATAAATTTTTATAATTATTTAAAATTTTAGATGCTGATTTTATGATGATTTTTAAAATCGTTTAAAATTTTTAAAAAAATTGTTCATTTTTAAAAAGTTCAGGATTTAATACAAGGGTTGTAAAAAAAATTGTTTATTTGAAAATTTTAATGTTTTTATATTTATTTAATTTTTTAAAAAAGTTTATGTAATAATATGTGATTTTCTTTATTTTAATATTAAAGACTAAAAACGGAAAAACGGAAAAAAAAAATTATACAAAAATTTATTTTGTCAACTGTAAAGAGTGAAGGCACGCGCCTTCAGGTCTCGTGACTCGCACACTCTCTGTCTTCTGCGTCTCTCTCCTTCTCGTCTTCTCTCTCCACCCCCCCCCCCCCCCCCCCCCTCCCCCCCCCCCCCCTTCTCTCTCTCATGCATTTCGCACCCAAGTTTTCCGAGAAATTGAATTTGTTTGGCGAGAAGGAAAATGTTATGAATCCGCTGATTTGCAAGTAAGCTCCATAGAAGCTTTCTAACATGGCAGTAGAAGGAAAATGTCTGAAGAAGTTCTATTTTCCGCTCCTTAGTGTTAGGGTTATTAATCTCCTCCGATTCCAGCTTCTTGCGACTGGTAAAATCTCTTCCTCCAATGAATCTTCTTCTGGTAAAATCTCGTCCTCCAATCAATCTTCTTCTGCTACTTGTCCTACAAATCTGGTGGAGTTAGGGTTTTGATCTCATAGATTTCATCCCGAAATTAGTAACCTATTTGCGAGAATGATGTTGCAATTCCTTTATTGTTGCTCGGAACTTTCAAATTAAGATAGTCGTGTCGTGTGTGTATGTACAGATGTTTACTTACTTTGTGAACTTTATGTTTGATTCCTCTAAGTAATGTGGCTTCAAAATGGTCAAGGTTTGTGTACGAATGTAGTTTTAACTTTTTCGTGTGTCTGAATCAGACATTCTGATAGATTCTGATGTGGAAAGATGTAAAGTCAATAGCTAAACTTGTGTTGTGTAATGCAGCAACTTCCGAGCAACTTTGTTAGGCACATGGAGGGCAGAAATTCTGGATGGGTTTCATTACTTGGTCCGAGCGGGAACACATGGCATGTTGAGTTGATCCATCAAGGTGCTGATTTGTTCTTCAACCAAGGGTGGCCAGCTTTTGTGAGGGATCATTATATTGAATGCGGAGACAGTATGGTTTTTAGATATAATGGAGAGTGGCATTTCACCGTTCAAGTGTTTGACTCCAGTTCCTGCGAGAAGGAGGCTGCCTTTTATTCCAAATGTTATCAGGAGGGTGAAAAGTTTGACGGACATATGGGCCAGAAGAGGGGAAGGAATGAGGCGGCTCATTCGCTGGATGTTGAAGGTTTATCAAAAAGATCGAGAGAAATGTCTTGTGGATGTTCAAGCAATGGCCAAGAAGCAAATGAAACTCATTATGAGAGGGGATCAGGTGAGCTACCCAAAGTGGAACTTTACATGAATCCACTCCACAAGGTTTTTGTCTCTATTTTTATGTCTATTATACACGTAAGAGTTCCAAGTTTCTTGCGTGATAGAAGTTGTTTTGTAGTTTTCAAGTTTGAATTCAATTTCCCAATTCCACACGCTCTTTGATATTCTTCCCATGGCTTCATGCTTGTTCATATTGGTATCTTTCGCTTCTCCTGATTTATTGATTTGTTCAAGCGTCCTGATTATACATAATGACTGCGGATATGTGTGAATGATACCAGAATTGGAGGAGAAAGAGCTTGCAGAAAATTTTACGTCGCCTTACCCTTACTTTGTGAGAACCATGAAAAAATTCAATGTCAGCGGCTCATTTACATTGGTGAGTTGGTTCCCTTTCATTTTCCATACTCTAAATCTGGGCATAATATTTAAGTAAGAAGCTTATGATATCCAAATCTTTCTGGTTCCTGGCATAGAGCAGGTGCGTGCATGAGATTTGTTTGTCTAATCGATATAGTTTACTTTTCTGTGTTTCAGAATGTCCCTTACAAATTTTCCATGGAACATCTTCCAAACTGCAAAACCGAGATTGTTCTCCGAGATCTGAAAGGAGTTTGCTGGACGGTTAACTCTGTGCCAACAACTAAAGTACATACTAGCCATACTTTCTGTGGTGGGTGGTTGGCTTTTGTTCGGAGTAATGGGATTAAGACAGGAGACATTTGTATCTTCGAACTTGTACGCAAATATGAATTGCTGGTGCATATTTTCCGGGTTGGAAAGGAAGAGCCAGGAGACCAGAGTGGAAAAGGAGCTTTTAGTGGATTGGATGTTTTGTCCAATGCAACATCGCGTAAAATTCTTGAAAGTTTGGCAAAGAAATCAATAAAGAGTTCGTCAAATGTCCACTCGAAGAGTCTGAAAAGTGTTTATACGTGTGATAAGACGGAATCCAAGACTCAGGACAAAAGAAAACTTGGGAGTTCGAAATCAAAGACAGTTAAAGTTTCTAAATGTGCCAGCGACAAATCAGGTAGTGCCTCCATCTTCTGATATTTAGCAGATCCCTCTAAAGTTCCTGTACTCTTCCGTTAGTTAAGGGATCCGTGGTGTTTTTTTTTAGTTGAACGAAAATTTCCTTGTAACTGAAATTGGCTTCACCATGTTATTTGAAACAGAGTCTAATGGCAGTAGCCTGAGATTCATGTTAGCACTTGATGAACAGAAAGCTGCCCAATCTTTTACTTCTGCATTTCCCAACTTTGTGAGGATTATGAGGAAGTTCAACATTAGCGGTTCGTACACGCTGGTGAGAGCTTTTATCTCTGTTGTGTTTTCTTGTCTTGTCGATATCAAAACATAATATGATGCGTCCTATGTCTTTTATTCTTCGTGTTCCATCTGCTTGTTTAATTGATACGGTATCTTGCTGGGAAATCTATCTTGACAAGTTTTACGTATTTGCCTATTTTGACTTATTTGTATTTTCTAACTCAGAAAATCCCACACCAGTTTTCCATGGCATATCTTCCTCATTCAAAAGCAGAGATTATTCTTCGCAATTCGAGAGGAGAATCGTGGACTGTGAACTCTGTCCCAGACTCAAAAGGCAGAATGGTGCATACATTTTGTGGGGGGTGGATGGCCTTTGTTCGGGACAATGATATACAAATGGGCGATACATGCATATTTGAGCTGACTAGGGAGTGCGAAATGCGAGTTCACATATCAAGGTATGGGAAGAAAGGGATGGACACTCCGCTTACAAAATCAGCTGATGGAATGTCTATCAACTTGGCTTCTGGAATCCATCCGAACTTTTAAGTTATGCTAAAACCTTTCCAACTTTCGCTAACATGTTTGCGGTGAGTCTTGCCATCTGAACGTTTCTCAGTTTTTTCTTGTTGACTTTTTCGTAAAATTTTCAACTAACTGTTACAAGTCCTTGGACATGAAATCTTCTGCTTAGAGATAGTGATGTGTGACATCAATTTCATACTTTTCTGGTGGAATGAAAATTCGAAGTTCTATCTTATTCAGGTGGTGCTGAAAACCCGAGTTCCTCTTCTGGTTCCACAAGGAATAGGAGTTTTTGGACCGCAATACTTAGATTTTGTTAATTTTCGGCACATTTATGTTACGTTGTCCGAATTGTAAATTTATGGCCCTTCTTTGTTTACCTGCAGGGTGTGTTTCTTCCTATATGTGAATACTGAGATCTGACGGCTTTCTCAGAAGGTGTGAAACTCGTGTTCCCTTTTTCATGACAATGAGGTAATGGTAAGTACGTTGTATATAGCAATAACCCCGGGAAAGGAAGGAGGTGGTGCATCATTTTGCTTCTGGATTATTAGAAAATCTTCTCGGTATCTTGTTATTTGTCGCTCGGTAGGAGTCATTTTGTTTGGGGAATAGATGTAGATTTAAGGATACGGGAAGAAAGTGGACGAAAATTGAATTAGGGTTACTAGGAACTTTCGGATTTAAGTGTTGTGGGAGTATTGGAGGTTGTAGAGTAGGATTTGTGAAGGGGAGCTTTTGTGGATTGATATCTACTTAAATTCAAACGAAATTGCTCTCCCGTGAAGCTACAACTTAAATACCGTCCCGTTTTCGTGCCCATAAGGTTCGGAAAAAGGCTTGTTGTAGGTTTAGTGTTTCGTTTCAGAAACGAGTTCTTGAGTTCTAGGCCACAGTTCCTCTTGATGAATCCCATCTTTTGGTTCTCTTTTTTCGAAAATTCGACCGAGCCAAGAAAAGGGCTATGGAGCATTCGGACGTCCAAGTTTGGGTCTTGTCCGAACGGTTGGTTACTAGTGCTTTGCGGTTGGGTTGGTCCCCACACTCTCTCCTTATGAATCATAAGCTCTGTCTCTTGTCTGTCACGAGCATTTTTTTAGTGGTTGTCATTTCGGTTTTGGTTTGGTTGGAGTCCGGTTCTATTTTCGGTTTTTGAAACATTATATCCACTCGGTTTTTATATTGGATTTGTTTCTATTTGGTTTCTATTTGGGATTCGGTTTTTATTGATTAAAATGTTTATTTTTCGAAGAATTTTTTTTTGTATTTTTCAGTTATTTTAATATTCCATTTGAGTATAGTTTTTGTTTAAAAGAAAAATCTTCTACATTATTAAAAAAAAATCAATTTAAAAAATCAGCTATCTAAACTAAAACTATAAACCTCTAACTCGGTTTTGAAATTGATTCAATGTATTTTATTTTTTTTTGGAATATGAACCAAAGCGAAATCCAGGCTGAAAAAAAGGAATCATAAATCGGGCACGAGGGTCGATGAGGAGCGAAGCCCAAAGTTCTGTCAGAACTGTTGGGCTTACGTAAACAGCCCAATTTAATACCAAAACCTATGAATGCATATTTCATATGGTGACACCATACATAATTGTTCTCTGTACTTATGCACATATATATACATGTATGTATGTATGTATGTATGTATGTATGTATGCATGTATGTATGCATGCATATATGTGTGTGTATGTATGTATGCATGCATGTATGTGTGTGTGTATGTATGTTATGTGTAATCAAATACATACATACAAAATACAAAACCCAAATTGAAATACGTAAACTTGCCGATTGCATACATAGATGTAATGGGCAAGTTTGGTCGAAAATGAAAACAAATTAGGCAAAATACGAAACCCAAAGTGGGAGCAGTGGAACATAACCGGAAGAAGAAAGAAACAGCAGAAGCTTTTTTAGTTATCAGAGAATCTTTTGCAAAATGTGCACTCTGTGATGATGGGAGGAGGAGAAAATTGTTTTTCCTTTTTTTTTTTTGGAGATTGTGAAGATCCCTATATCATGCCTTTTACCAACATACACACACACATATATATATATATATATATTGATGCTTGTCCCAAAGAAAGAACTTTGAATGATTCTGTCTTCCGGTACCCGTTAAGGTGTTCTGCAATGGAGGAGCCTCTGAGGCAACCAGAGGGTTTCGGAATGTAACACCAATGGAAAATAACATCGACGATTTTCTCTTTCGATATCGAGTACATTTCATATAATTATAGATACAAAACATCAAAAATTCTACATCAATCTCTTAGCATTGGCTACTTGATCAACTCGGTTCTCACATTGTTAATACATTCCAAAACTCCCATGGAAGAGGTTCATATCGTCATTACGTTATGCGGTTTCTTCCAAAGTTCACATGATTAAACAAAGTTAAAACATGTTAAATGATAATATAAACCGGCCGGCCGCCCGGAGTCGTAAATTTCGTCAAGTTAGCATCTGAGAAGGGTCAGATCGTCTCCGGGTTCTGCGTAATCCATCCACCAATTCGACCTCCCCAACGTGAACTCTAAGTTAAGCTGAAGATCTGCACCGCCTTCATCTCCCTGTACATCCAAAACGTAAAATATTCATCGAAAATAGGCTAATAATACGATTATATAACCATATATATATATATATATATTGAATATTATCATAATGTTATCTCATAGTTGAGAAAGAATATCATAACATGAAAGTACCTTAGCACCGGTTGGTTCCATTGGAGATGACCAACTATATGCCCTATATCAAATTGAAAATGTGAATATATAGATCAAGAAAAAGGGATCTCTTTTAATAAATAAAAAAAAATATATATGTGAATTGTCTGTAGAGATTTTGGATCTCTTTCTTCAATATATCGACCGTGATGTCACAGACATTTTGATTCCTAATTTTTCAAATTGTCAACGTCAACATAAACCCTAAGGGAAGGTTGCGTTCATCAAAATCCACGCGGAAGAACAAGAAGGTGAATGAAATAAATAAATTGATTAAATAAATGACATAAAATTAATAAAACCTTTGGGTCTTTTCTTGAGATGATGCGTTGGGAGAAAACGAGGGTTTTGTTGTGTCTGCTTCTGCATCAACTTTGTTATTATTATTATGCCCTATCCTTTGCTCTGAACCTTTTTCTCCATTCCCTTCGCCTGCTTATCCCCCCAAAAAAATATATTTATTTTATTTTATTTTTAGAAAAAAAAATATCACATATCAACATATATGATTTGTATAATAATACAATTCAATCCCATATTTATATAATAATAATATAAGATTTATGATCATTTTTGTTATACTTCATAGAAAAATCATATATATCAGTCACCTGATGATCCTTTGTCAGTGCCCTTCACTGTTCTATACATCTGCATAAACAAACCCTCAAATTTATTTAAAACAAAAAATCTTTACAAAGAAAAAAATGAATCAGAACAAAAAAAAAAGAAGAAGATAAGAGATGCCCACTTGGCTAAGGTTTCTTCAACTAAGCAATTATATGTTTGGTAGTGATTCAAGCACATACATACACCCACTTATGTCTTAGGTGCATACACATATGTATATATATGTATATATACATATACACACATATATGAAAATGGACTGTGAAATCGGACCTGTAAATGGCTCTTGACATGAGCTAAGGTTAGATCCTTCACATTCATCAGCTCCAAGACCGACTTCGGCGTAGCTCCTGCGACCAATACAAGCATACAAATGAAGCAAAACCCACAAAAGAATCAAATCCAAGGAAGGAATCTTGTGAGAAGAACTACATATACATATAGATATATATATGTATACCCAAAGGGCTAACTCGATTAGGGTTTTCACACGGTCATTTCAGACCGGAGGATTCCACATCGTTATAGACAGAAAAAGAACAAGAAGAGGATACATACACACACACACACACACACATATATATATGTTAACATACTTTCGTGGCCGCCGAGAAGCTGGACGGCATGGACAAAGTGGGCGTGGAGAGTGGAAGTCCAACGCATTCTCGGAGCTCGGATGCTTCTCTTGACACCCACCATGGGAGCTCTTGAGGAGGACGAGCTCCTCTTGAAATCTCTGCCATAGATTTGCGGTTGGTATATGTGACGATTATGATGATGATGATGATGATGATGATGATGATGATGACGATGATGATCAAAGCCTACCCCCAAGAGGGTGTTGTTGTTGTTGACATTTTCATGGCTTAAGTCACTGAGGGTACTGCCGGAGTCACTGCTCGTGGAGATCCGTTCACCGACAGAGTGATTCGGAGGGCTGATTTGGAGAGAGAGATCAGGGAGAGAGGCTGAAGCTCCCACTGGTTTTGCGTTTGGCCTCAACATTCTAATTCAACTATAATTTCCCTACGACCATATCTCCGTTTGTTTAAATAGAGAGATGAAGATGCCGAGAGGAGAGAGAGAGAGAGAGAGAGAGAGAGGGAGAGAGGGAGACACAGAGAGATGCAAATACAAGCAAAATAGGAGACAGAAAAGAGGGGGTGGGGGAGGGGATACAATAAAATTCTCATATTTAATTCTATACAATAGAAAAACTAGTGCCTAGCTATATACAATTATTATATATCATATGTTTCATAATACTTTTATACACCGATATATACTATGCATAGTGATATATATATATATATATACATACATATATATATATATAGGTCGTCCGTGAAAAATTTATTATAGATTCTGAAAATACAACTATATATATAAATAGGAAAATGGACAACCATTCCAAAAAGAAAAGAACACAAATTACAGAAAATTTGCTCAACACATACTTTGGTATAAACTTGATCAAGAGCACTGTGTACTCCCATCTCTAAAGTGAAAAATGATTACAAAATAATTAAACTATAAAAAAAATATTTTCAAAAAATAAAAATAGAAAAATTGGAAGAAATAGCAAGTTTTAGTAAGGGCTAATAAATGCAAGGGTAAAAACAAGAGAGAGAGAGAGAGATTTAGTTATGATAATTAGATAATGAGTGCCCTATGATTTGCATGTTTACATTTTATTTTATTTTTATTTTATTTTAATGTTTCTCTATTTTCAAAATGTAGGCTTTTTGGACCTACAAGACCAGCAGTGCTTTCTAGGGTTTGATGGAAATAAAAAAAAAATTCAGAGAGGCCAATTTACATTTTTTATTTAATTATAAATATTCGATTGTGTTACATTCATTGCATTAACAATCTTAAAAAGTTGACTGAGACTTTCTCATGGGGATTCTGCTTTGAACCAAAAGTTGGTGGCTAAAGGGAAACTTTGTTCATCTATACATTGTGAGAGAGAGAAATGAAAGCACAAAAAATCACATTAATTAATATAGAAATGTTAATATATATATATATATATATATAAAGAAATATACTCTGTGGTACAGATGATATAAAATTTCAGAATTTTTATTTCTATTAAAATTATATGTTATAATATTGATTTCCATATTAATTTATATTTTCTTAGAATTCAATTTATAATAAATAATTTGTGTTTTTGAAAATTTAGGTTTAGTTCAGTATACAGTTTTAAAACTTACTTCTATTTATTTTTTCATTTTAATACTCTCGCATTTAATTTATCGATATATGCTTTAATTTGCATTTTTCGAGGACCCTATTCTGAAAATTCACTGTTTCATAATTAGGTTATAAAATAATCACTTTCACTATAATAAAATATACATACATTTCTAGTTTTTTTTATTACCATGTATATGTACATTTTGAAAAAACTCGTTCATTTAAAAAATAACTTATGCACTACGAATAACCTTTCTAGATAACACAATTAATTTTTTTTATTTAATTTGAATTCTGTAACAAAAATATATTTTTCGTTTTAAAAAAATTCAAATTCCTACTGTACATTATTTGTTGGTTAATTTTTTTTAGAAGTTGATGTTAATGGTTGGACTTCGAGGAGAAAGCCGAAAGAGTAAATAGACGATGAAATATTCGGGGCGATATATAATTTATAAATTAAATTTCGTTTGCTTTTATTGATTGATAAGGACACATTTTAATTCTATCTTTATTTATTTAAATAATCATTTCAATTTTCTACAGGTTTTGCTTGTTTTAATATTTTTTTTATCGACATTCTCTGGGTTTTGGTTCTCCGGCTTTGATTTTTTAACATAAAGAAAATATACCACTTTTAGCAGAGAAAATATATTCAAAATAATGTTTTAAATTATTTAATTTATAAATTGAGAAATGCTGAACTTTGATCTCATTGGAATTAGGTATTTATGAGGATAGTAGTCAATGACTTAATAATTTAGTCTACCCTACAATGGAAAAATGTAACAAGGGTAAAATCCATAAAAAAATTTGAATTTATAAAATAATAAAAAATAAATTTCTAAATTTTTCGTTTAACAAATTTATTTTCGAACTTGCAAAATATGTCATTCTATTTTTCAAACTTGTAAAATGCGTCATTATAATTCCCAAATTGATTTTTTAATCAATATCGTCGAGTTTTCTTCTGACATCAATTAACAAGTTTGATAATTATATGTCATTTTAAGTTTGAGAATATATTTGTCAAACAAAAAGTTTAACAATTTTTTATCTACCATTTTACAAGTTTAAAATTTTTTATGGGTTTTACCCGATAAATATTAAAGAAGTTTATGATAAATCATATCGAATGGACCATTAAAAAGATCAAATCAGTGTTTGTGCGTGCATATGTATTAACCGGGGGAATTTCTGAAATACCCTCAATGTGCTACAAGGATTTCTAGTGATACCCTCCTCTTGAAAAAAAAATTCTAACTTCTATTTTAGCCTCTTCATTGACAAATTACACAAATACCCTTTAGACATAAATTTTAAAAATTTAAAAAAAAAATCCCTTTTTTAGGGTTTCTCTTTCTTCAAGAACGGTTTATCTCTCATCCTCTCGCCATTGTCGAGTAAACACTCTCTCTCTACTGTGTTTTCTCTCTCCTCCTCATCTTGCTATTTTGTCTTCAAAATTTGTCGAATTTGGACAAAATCACGGGCAAATCAAGGCGAATTCAGTAAGGAAAGTGGAAATAGGTAAGTTTGTGTCGAAATCTCAGTTTTTTTTCATACACATTGATGGTTGTTGCAGTTTTTTCCTTCCAATTGTTGTTTTTTCTGTAGTTCTGTCGTTTGTAATCAAATATCTATATCAGATTTGCATTTTGGATGTATTCCGAGCATCAGGGTCACACAGGTTAATTGTCACGAAGGTCAACATGGGTATATGGGTCACAATGATCATAATGTGCAGAACACTTATATGGGTCACTATAGAAACAAGACACAATGGTCACAATGTGCACAATACAAATAGATTAGGGGTTATATGGTGAAGTGTTCACGCGGTCACACCATTACAGGGTCACTTGTGTTGGGTTTTCCTGGGATCTCAAGAGCGAATCTAATTTCTAAGAGATCAGTTCTAGGGTTTGCGCAGCGGATGAAAAACAAAAATTTTGATGAAACCCTAAAACCTATCATGAATGATCTTGTAGAAACGTTAGAACGCTTACCTCAATCGATCCGATGTCTGTTTCAATTGATGTGTTCGTCCGATCACTGTAGACAGGAAGAATACCTTGCCCTCTACACGTATCCACACGGCGGAAAGGATTCCAACGGTTGGAACTTGTCTGCTAGGACTGAAGAACGCTTCTTTCTTTGCGCAAGGGTTTTAGGGATCTTTCTATTAGCTTTCTCACTCTCCAAACCTCTCTCTAGGGTCTGAAAATCGTGCCAAAAGAGTTGGGTGGC